ATAGCGAGAGAAGTTGAGGTAGCTCTTATGCTATCCTAGTATTGACCATGGCACAATAGAAAAAGCACCGTCATAGTCAATACTAACCGAAGGATAAGAAAAACGTAAAAGCGTGACTTATAAAAGTACCGCTAATAAAAGACCTCGTTGAGTTCTTGAAGTGGAATGAGAAAAGTAAACTCCTATACGAATTAAGAAATAACTTTGTTTGCATGACATAATCATGTGAATGAAGTAAGTTATAAGTATCTCCTCGTTTACAGGTTTTCCGAATAGTTCTCGAAATTATGGCAGTAAAGTTTATGCCATATTTCGAGGGAGAGGATTGTGAGAGCAATTAAGACTGAGATAAAGATCAATTAAGAATGATACTCTTCATTAAGAGTGAGATAAAGATCAATTAAGAAATATATTCTTCATTAAGAGTGAGATAAAGATTAATTAATATGAATGTGACCGTCGGAGGAGTACAACGGTCACAACAATGATACCCCTAACAATGATACATCTAGGCAGAAAAATAGCTAAATTCCTGTACCTTTTACAGTTCTGATAGGAAGATAGCGTAGTTAGCCAGAATTCATACTGGACGAGCCTCAAAGATATTAAGGCGGTGCTTAAAGCGCCATATAAGGTTTTAACAGATTAAACTCAAATAAAAAATTTGAAGATACACTATCTTTATAGAAGATAGAATAATCTAGGGAAGCATGGTATGTGGAGGTATATAGTGACCTAAGAGAAGAGGGACTGCGTATCCAATCCAGTGATTCAAGAGCAACAAATTTCTCGATACCTGCTGATGTTGTATGACTTACACAACACCTGTTGTTAATTCTTCAGAAAAAATAAACAATGTAAACAAGGATCTTGTGATACAGAAGTCTGTAGAATCAATTGTCTCTTGGCAATGAAGAGCAACAACAGCTCCATATGAAAGTGCCAGTAGCTGAGGCTCTAGAAGGTCTCAAAGAATTAGTAAATCAGTTTTTTCTGATAACTATGAAGTCTATGTTAGTGAAGAAATTTAAATAGAGGGAGATCGCACCTTATTTGAAAAAGTCATGAGAAACGTTTACTCGTCTAAACGGCAAGAAGCTATGGAAACTGAAATGAATTCGATGAATAATAACGATGTTTGGGACTTAGAAGAAATTCTTAATTGAGCCAAAATAGTAGGCTGTGAATAGGTCTACGAGACAAAATGTGACTCTAAAGGAATTGTGGAAAAATATAAAGCACGACTTGTAGCAAAAGACTTTACGCAAAGAGAATGAATAGATTACAATGAGAATTTTTTCTCAAGTCTCATGCAAGGATTCTTTTAGAATCATAATGGCATTAGTGACACATTACGATTTAGAGTTAGATCAGATGGATCTAAAGATGGCATTCCTCAACGGGGATTTATATGAAAAACATTTACATGGCACAACTCAAATATTTTGTCATGAAAGCAAAAGAACATATGTGATGTCACCTGTAAAAATTCATTTATGGGTTAAAATAAGTCTCTAGACAGTAGTATTTGAAGTTGATGAAACAATAAGAAAGTTTGGGTTTAAAGAGAACGAGGAGGACAATAGCGCTTATGCAAAAGTTCAAGAATGAAAAATTCATTTTCCACATCCTGTGTATAGATGACATCCTACTCACTAGCAGTGATATTAATCTGTCATTGGAGAAGAAGAAGTTCTTGTCCTCAAGTTTCAATATGAAAGATCTTGGTGAAGGGTCATTGGTTATAGGAATTGAAATTCACCGAGATAGAAGAAAAGAGGTATTAGGCCTATAGCATAGTCATACCTAGAAAAGATTCTAAAGTAATAAAGTATGCATGCGAGTAAATATACGTCTGCTCGTATACTCAAGGGTAACAGATTTAGGAACTTTCAGTGTTCTAGGAACCGATATGAGATTGATCAAATGAATATGGTTCCATATGTTTCAGCTGTTGAAAGCTTAATGAGTATACAAGTAAGAACTTACCCTGACATAGCTCATATATCAGGGATGTTATGGTAGAAGTCTAGTCCAGATATAGATCACTAGAATGGAGTTAAGAATGTCTTGCAATTTTGCGAAGTATTGTAGACCTCATGTTGAGTAAAATAGAACATGTACTCTTAAATAGTTATAGGTACAAATGTTAAACTTCGATGAGATATGTAGTGAAATTCACAGTAGTAGCTAACACTCGTAGTTAGAGTTTTATTGTGGAAAAGCTTCAAAGAAACAGTTGTGGTATCATCAATAATGCATATTCAGAGTATAGCTTGTCATGAGGCTTTAGAAACAGGCAAAAGGTGGTTAAGGGAATTTGTACCCGGATTTAACAATGGTAGACAACAGCAATAACCATTTAAAGTAGTTAAATCCTATGACAACAGGTCAAGTGTGCTGCCAAACACATTGACATTAAGTTATATGTTGTAAAGGAGAAAAATTCAAAATCATTTTGAAAGCATTGGGCATATAAGTACCGAGCAAGTACTTTCGGATCCGCTTATCAAAGGCTAACCACTCAGTGCGTTTAGAGAACGCACAGTCGACATATGTTTATGGGAAAGCCTATGATTTCTGGATACTAATGGCCTAGTTGAGAATCTATTTTAAAACAGAGAGATGTATTGTAGCTGTTAATCTAACGGTAATAACTGTTATGACGAGGCATGTTCTATGCATTAATCTGTGATGTAATGGAAAAGAAATAAAGTGAAATAAGTTTAAGTCATAAAGTGAGATCAAGGGGGAGAATGTTAGATTGATCTCCACTCGGCTCAGTCCAACGATCGAGTCGGACCCTGACTTGCTCCCTGATCGGGGGCGCCCAGCCGTTCTCCTGACTGGTGGGCTCCCATCGCGCAGCGCTATGAATAGGAGGTGGGGGCTGAGGCTCGAGACACGAGGTTCACCGTGGCCGCTAGTTCCCACGGCGACCATCGACGCGCGGAGGAGGAGGGCAAGCAGGCGGTGGCCCCGCCCGACCGCGTGGCCTGGCCTAGCGGCGGCGCGCCTCACCGGCCTTGCTGCGTCCCTGCCCTACAACGCCTATGCCACGGCCTCGCCTTGCCCGGCGGCGTCTGGTCGGCTCCTCCTGCGGCAGGGAATTGCGGAAAGCCTTGATGATTCATTTTTTCGGAAAAAAAGCAACGTAGGCGCTGGGTGCGTCTAGGATTCGATCCCTGGTGGCAGGGGCGGAGTGGCGTGTGGGGCTGGGGCTTGTTTGCGCGCAAGCGGACGAGGAGGTTGACACACGTGATCTGGACCGTTACGATTTGAGTGAGTAGAGAAGACTTACGAGTAAATTTGGATAGTCTGTTTTGAACGTGTCTGTTTTTCTGGGTATATTTTTTGTAGATGGGTAGATGGATGCCTTCTCAGTAGGGGACATTTTCTGATGTGGGTTTAGCAAAGAAAAAAATGATAAATTAGTAAGGTAATAGAATATAGATATAGTTATAGAAATAGAAGTAGAAGTAGAAGTAGAAGTAGAAGTAGAAGTAGGATAGATTATTAAAACGGAGGCGCGAAAGCTCGCGGTGCCGCAAGCTTCCCCTGATATACTCATGGGCCGTGAGTCGGGCGCCAGGAAGGCAGGAGTGCAGGACCGCGCGAGCGGACATGGTGTTGGCGAAGGCAGCGGCTGACAGCTGAGAGGGAGCTAGACGCCGGCGCTGATTCACTGCTCCGACGCGGTGTCCGCTGCCGGATTCTGCCTGTATTTTATGTCTGTTCTGAGGAAACCAGAAACGAGCTGAAATTTTTGTGTTGACTTTATCCAAGCTGGCACGATCGAATCCGAATCATGGGTGCGCACGTTGCAGGGTAGGACGCAGCGTGGAAGCATCACTGCGAAGTGTCTGGGCGAGGCACTGAGCAGCCGAATTGACGTTGAATAGGGATGAGATCCGGCACCGGCAGTCGATCGACGGGCTCCAAGCTCATCCGCCACAGGCCACGGACAGTTGGCCACAGAGAAAACGCCTTGGCCTGCAGATTCTTAGTGCAGGCGGTAGGTGACGTGTACTAGTACTAATCTTGGAATCGGATGAATAAGTAATTGACGAAGCCGTTTCCCATCCGATAAACGGCCTGTTCGTTGGGCTGGGCTGGTTCATCGCTGGTTTGTGAAGAAGTACTGCTGGCTAGTTTACGTGAGAGAAAAATACTGTTTCGGTTAAAAATTTATGATCGTTTACGATCGTATAAGCCCAGCCAACAAGCTGAAAATGTCCGATGTGAGCCAGCTAGTGTCAGGATCTGGTTCTGGACTTTTGGAACCTACCGGCTGCCGCATTGTTCATCTTATTCTGCTCTGCCGTTCAAACGTTGCTGCCAGTGCCAATTGCAGGAAACAAATAGTAATGGTGGAATAGACCTATTACTGAAGGCGACATTTTAGGAGAAGAAATGCAAGTACTTTCAAGTACGTTTTTCATGGCAAATGACGGAATGGGTCTATATGGAGGAAGGGCGTCCGGTACCATCTGGACCGCGCGCGATGCCTATCATCAGACCTGCCTAACGTAAAACAGGGGAGATGCAATTTTCTCCAAACCATTTAAGACACACCAATGATCTCCGCGTGGGGATACTCCTCTGACAAAACGAACCTAAAAGCAAAGACAGGACCGACAGAATGCAGTGCCAATGCCAGCTAACAATACAGGTAGTCCATGTATCACTTAATTATAATTATTATGGTACGTGATTTTGTGTTGATCTCCGTATTTAATTTCGCTCGAAGGAGAACGAGACAGAATCAGGTTACCATCACAAGAGCATTCCTGAATCCAAGCTGCAGAGAAGAACAGGGCTGTGCAGTATACATTTCTCGATTTGCAAACATCCAATTACTGGATCCGAGTTTCAACTTCTAACCTCTTTGAGATCACAAGTATAAGGGCGTACAGATCGCGGCCGTCGATCGAACAGCAGCAGCAACATCTCATTATTTCAGCGAGCAAAATTCAGCTCGAGTATGTGACCGCCATCACTTACAATGGCAGCACCGAGCTCCGAGCGCGGCAATGGCGCGAGAAGAATGACCTCGGGACGCCGCCGGGAGCCAGCCTGTCGGTGCTGAGGTTGGTCCGATGGCCCGAACCCGATGGCTTCGCGCGGGACGGGCCGGTGCAGCGCTTCCGCCTCCCACCGATCTGCTCCTCTTCAGGAGCTTCCTCCGGCAGCCGGTCTAGCTCCGCGACGTCCGCCGCAGTTGACACTGCCACAGCGTCCATGGACGCCGCGCGCCGGACGTTACGTGGCAGCGGGCACAAGAGTTCCGGGGGCGGCGGCTCGGCGGAGCTGGATTGTTCTTGCTGGTCCTCTTCTGCGGGTGAAGCGTCTCGGCCGTCGCTCTGCTCCTCTTCGTGATCCGGCGCTGCTGCGTCGCTCGCCGCGCCAACAACTTGATCTGCTGCGGCGTTGGCATTCGCGTCTGGATCAGCTGGCGGGCTGGAGCTGGACCCGACGCTCTCACTGCCTCCTCCTCCGGAGGCGGCGGCTGTGACGGCGGGGTCGAGCACGTCGGAGCGGCAGATCGGGCAGTTGACGTGCGCGCGGAGCCAGGTGTCGATGCAGGGGACGTGGAACGCGTGCGCGCACTTGGGCAGTAGGCGCACGAGCTCGCCGTCCTGGAACTCGCCGAGGCAGACGGAGCAGTCCGCCGCGCCCAGGAGCCCCGCCCCGGCGCGGTACCGCGTGACGGCGATGGAACTGATGGACGCCTCGTCGAGCCCCACGGTCCGGATGTTCCAGACGTGGTGCACCACCCCGCCTCCTCCGCCGCCGCCGCCCCACTCGTGGTCGTGCTCGCCGCCTCCGTCGTCGACGTTCGCCGCGCCCGCGTTGACAGAGGGTGCGAGGAGCGCCTGCCGCCTCCGCCGGACCTGCCGGCGCCGCACGGCGACCGAGACGCCGAGCAGGATCAGCGAGACGAAGGCGATCACCCCGGCGGCGATGAGCACGTACTTGACGAAGTGCCGTCGGCCGTGGTCGCCTGCGCCGCCGACGCCGGGTGGTGGGGGCCCGTATCCCTGCATCCCCCCTCCCTGGTCCCTCCTACCGTTATGCGCGGGAGCAGGCGACGGCGGGAAAAAGGGAGGCGGCGGCGGGGAAGGGGCAGGGCCGAAATCAGGGGAGCTGGGAACCGGCGGTGGCGTCTGGCACCAGGAACCATCGCAGTCCCCGGCGCCCGGGCTGTGCTCCGTGAAGAAGAGGGCCCGGCGGTGAGGCCTCATGGCCGGCGATCGATGGCGTCAGATCGGCCGCGACGGCGGCATCTGCATCGGTGGGCCGCTGCTGGTGGAGGCGGAGACCAGGCGCGGGAGACGGAGAGGAAAGTGCTGGGAAGATCGTGGGGAAGCGTGCGGGACTCGGTTAACGTGAGTGCGTGGACGGGGACGGCACGGCTGTGGCGGTGCGTGGGCTGGGGGAGGGGCTGCGCTCGGGGCTTTCGGTTGGTGGCCAAGTTGGACTAGGCGCGTAGAAAAACTTGCCCCGCGCGGCGGCCAGTGGCTTGTCACTGTTGGCATGGAGTAACCTTTTCTCTTTTTTTCCCCCTCGTTTTTTGCTTTCATCCTCCGTTTACCCGGCTGACTTCGTGTTTATTTTCCTAGCACGTTCGTTTTTATTTGGCAAATATTGTTCAATCATAGACTAATTATGCTCAAAACGTTCGCCTCGCAATTTCCAACCAAACTGTGCAATTAGTTTTTTTTCGTCTACATTTAATACTCCATACACATATCGCAAGATTCGATCTGATATATATTGTAGCACTTTTTTAAATTTTAGGTACCAACTAAACACGCGCTTGGTGTGGGGTTGGGGGAGGGATACGAGGCCTGACGGTGACGGGACGATGACTGGAAGAGGGACGTTGCCGAGAGGATATGGTGATTGTGATGTGGTTCCTCACTTCGTCTGACCTGTTCAGAGCACCTTGCCTGGCAAACAGCAAGCAAACCAGCTGCCGATGCCCGATGGCTCGCCCCGTGTTCGACCTTTGCAGTTGCAAGCACCGGAAGCCAACGCTCCCCCACTAGGGCTCATTTTAGTTGCCGAAAATTTTAGCAAAACGATACTGTAGCATTTTCGTTGTTATTTGATAATGAGTGTCCAATCATAGTCTAATTAGGCTTAAAAGATTCGTCTCGTGAATTTCGTCTAAACTATGTAATTAATTTTATTTTTTATTTATATTTAATGCTTTATACATACGTCCAAAGATTCGATGTGACGGAAAATCTTAAAAAATTTAGCGTTTTGGAGGGGATCTAAACAGGCCCTAGGCCACTACCACTCGCGTGGGTGCTCGCCAACGTTCTCCTGCCGGCTGCCGCCTGGCGCCGAGACAGTAGCCGCTCTGCAGCAAGTCAACGACGTCCGTCTACGTGAACGATTCGCTCAGGTGGTCCACGGGCTTAGTTCTCAACGAGAAAGCCTCGTCAGACGGCCTAGTAGTTTCCCTGCCTTCCAGCCCGGTTTCGCGTGTTCGCTGGGCCAAGAAACGTGTTTATGCCGGCCCAAACGTCTCTTCTCGCGCGTTCCTTCCTTGTAACCCATCCTGGCGGAGCGGCGGGCCGGCGGCCGTGCGGCACCGCACCGCGCGCAGGCGCAGGCACGTACCAATCAACCAGTCAACCAACCCACGCTCTTCCCTGCGACCCGCCGCCGTTAGTGGTGGTAGCCTGGTAGGCGGGTTCCAGAGGCCCCATCTGTTCTACCGCTAAAGCCACTGGCCGTTGCCAGCGGCGGTGGCGGTTTCATCTCATGGCGGCAGTTGTGAGCTGGTACGGCCCGCTGATCGACCTCTCGGAGGCCGCCAGCCATGTCGGCGGATTCGTGCAGCTACTGGCGGTCGTTCGCCGCGTCCTTCCCCACCAGGTAATGCGCAATCCTAAATCCGACATCCGGCTCTGCGGCGGCGCTAGCCTAGCTGGGGAGAGCATTTGGATTTTGGGGTGCGTGTATGTGTATTGTGATGTGACATGTCCTTGAGGGGCGGTCTCTTTTCTCTCTGTTCCTAGGAGCACAATGCTGCAACCGGAAGGACGTATCAGAAAACCATTGTTGAAGTCGGCGACGATACCCGGTCCAGCTTCTCTGTCTCCTTATGGTCCTCCAAGCATAATTCCACCATAATCGCTGGCGATGTCTTACTGCTGCAAAGTGTGGATCATAACTGCCCAGTGTCCGTTGTGCAGTCACATTTTTCATGTAGTGCGCTTTCACTTGTACTGAAAATGCTACAAGTTTTTTTATATATATATACAAAAAATGAAAACCTACACTAAATTGTTTCTACAAAGCTGCTGCTGTAACTTGACGCAATTCTTGGAAGAATGGTTTCCATTTTGTTTTAGATTTCAATATAACCCTAGGAAATTCATCTGGTATTTGCTTGTGCCGGCACATTTGCTGCTCTCTGCTGCTTACTGTCGGTTTATCATTATTTTGTCAGATATTAAGATAGTGCAATTTAGAAATGGCCTGGAGGGAAGAGCTTCTCAGATGTCTTCAGTCCAAGTATTGTTGAACTCTAAAGACTTGCTGAACCCTGAACCTGAAGGTATTAAGTTGCAGTCTGGCAAATGTTTCTTTTGGTTCTTCAATGATACAATGTTCTATTTGCAAAGCAAATTATAACTTGGTTTTCCAATCTATACCATATAGTGCATATGAAAACATACATTGGCTAGTAACAATAAGGGCGTTGAGGACATTATTGTTGGTTGAGTGGAGACATCATTCTGCTTATTACTGACAATTATTAATGGCTTCAGGTTGCTGGAATTTCCCCCCCCTTATATTGTGTGCTAATTTGTTATTTTTACTTCGTCTGGGTGCCTGGGTTGTTCCATCTTTGCAAAACCTTTCCTACCAAGTTAATTATCTAAACTATGGGGTAACTTGGTATCAGGCGTTCACTGTTTATATTGACACCTTTTCTTTTAAGAGTTTCTCAGCAGGAAAATATGCCTAATAAAATAGCATTTTCAGCACTCTGGTTGTAACTTAGCATGTCGTCTTTTATAGGAATACATGAACTAATAAGAAGTTGCAAAGTCGGGAATACTACAAAATCAAAGCTAACAAGAGTGGCAGAATGGACCATACGCGCTAAAGGTGCTCTTGCGGAAAGTCATCATCAGGTAAAATCTACTGGAATGATCCAATTCAGTTTAACTGGAGTATGGACCTGCACTTGCCTTTTCACTTAGGGGCTCAACTGCTGAGTTTTCACCATCTACATTGGCATTGCAATTTGCAAGGGCTTTGTATTTGACTTTCGTGTTTTGCGTCATCTCACCTTGGATTACAATGATTATGAGTGAAAGGAAAAAACCACGACTTCAGGCATTGATGATTCTTAGTAGATAAGTTCACAATTGAGTATGAAAGAAGTTGAGTATTACAGTCAATTTGTCTTCTCCGTGCCATATAACATTGAGATACTCACTCTTAAAAGTATTATGCTGCAGATGCAGGTGGTATCGAAGAACTGGAAACAAACAAAAGAAAACGAATCAACACATTTTTTGTCTATATCAGAACTACTTTCTCAGAGAAATTTATGTAATATAAACATTTATGCATGCATCAGCAAGATGGTTTTAGTGAATTCTCTGACCTCCCCCCTTAAGACAAACTTGTCAGTGATCGACAGACATTCTTTCAAAGAGCACAATGATATTGTCAGAGATTTGGTTACTGCTGGATGCAAGTTATGTGGTTCACCACTATATCACAAGTAGGCATCTTAATACCATGTTGACATCTGCTTATACATAAACAGTATTGCTCTTCTCGTGATGTAATGAATGTATATGCAGAAATCTTCATGGGGAAAACACGTTTGCACTTGATTGTCCTAATAACCCAAAATATCTTCATGTTCCTGGCCAGATATACAAGCCGTTTCTGGTAAGACTTCCTACAGCCTGAGTTTTTATTTTTCTAGTTAAGTATATTTGTAAAACTATCTTATCATCGTATGCAGATATATATCTATGACCAATCTGGACAAGTTCCTTTGCTTGTGAGGAATAGAGCTGCGGAGACCTTATTTGCCAATATCATTGCAGATGATGTATCTGAATGCCACAAAAGCCACATGCTGTCAGAAACCTATGAGTCGTGTAACTTGAGCAATTCTGGTATGATAGATGATTCTGGCAACAAAGAGATAGCAAAAAGGAGAAAAACCGAACAAAAGCCTAATTTCTATCTTATTTGGCTTATTCTGATCAAATGTCTGCTGAGCCAAGGCAACAACAGTCCCTTCTGCTTCCAGATTTCAGTCAACCCTGAGAAGAAGAATGTTGAGGATGGACGTTTTGAATTGATCTATTTGACAATGCCAATACCATGAGATAGCAATTTTCATGCAACACATGGTTTAAGTTGAACCAACTCGATTTTTTTCTAGAAAACACAAAAGCTTTTTGTTCCCACAAGAGAAGTTCCTTGGTCATTGCATTAATTGAAATCTTGCTGACATACTGTCCTATACAGGAACTTGGTTTGGGTGGCAGAATCATCATATTTGGACTCAGCATGAATATGGTTCAACTTGTATCTAACTCATTTTATTACTAATCTTGGAGCCCACTGAAAATTGGCATTTGCACATATACAATATGAAATATGCAGTCATGACTCAGGAGTAGCATAGAAGAAAGGGTGATGCAGTACTATGATGGTAGAGATCTGAAAGTTCTTTTTTCAGAAACAGGTAATTTCATTCATTGCTGTAATGTTTGCACTGAAGGTTTTTTTTTTCTTTTACTTCGATGACAGCATGGTTAGCAGTTAGCTGCAGCCTGTAGCACTATCCTTAAACTCTAAAGGCTTTTCCAGCACTAAGTAGCGGATTATTGTGGTTGAAAGATTTATTAAAAAACTGACATTAAGATTTTTACTCGACCAATGACATGAGGATGGGCCGGTGCATGTGCCAAATTAACTTGTTGGTTCATTCCTCATGCTAACAAGAGGATGGCTAGGGGCCATCTTTGTTTGACGAGTAGTGGAAACAGACGGCAACAGATAGCCTGCCGCCGCCTCTCCTGTGTCTGCTGCCCTTAGGGTCCTCCTGCACCACCACCGCTGGTCTCCCTCCTCTCTGTGTGGTGGCCTTGCCGGTGGTGAGAGGAGCGTGGACCCTATCGTCCAGTCTAGTCGTAGTAGTTAGGATCTAAGATTGAATAAATTATGCCCGTGGGCTACTGGATGGTATCATCCACGTCAATTCCTCATCGGATCTTGTTTATCGTAGAGAATTCTGATGTGAATGCCTATCAGGCTAGTCTTCACGTTGTTTTTGTTTTTGCAGGGTTCATGCAATTTGTTTTTGCAAGATTTATGTGATTGGTGGGTATATTCATGTTCCTCATTTGTATCTTTGTGTTACTGGATCGCTGTATTCCGACCTCGGAATGGCCAGAAAGTTATTCAGACTTCTGATTTAATACTGGTAGTGCCAGATTGTTGTCATCATCTTCGATGATAAAGTGGCCGATGCTCTGTCAGTGTGTCAAATGCATCATTGTGGATGATATTCCAGAAGTATCCATGTGTTCCAAAGTTCGGTCGTGTGTCATTGTGGATGATTTGAGGGTGAAGCTCTGACGGTAATCGTTGACATCACTAAGTTTCGACATATTGGAACTGGGCAATCGTTAAGATCATAAATTAGAGGCGAAGAATGTCATTAGGGTGTTCTAGAGTTACTCTAGTGTATACAGGGATATAATTATACTCTCAATTAAATAGAATCCCTTCCCCTCACAAAAAAAAAGGATGGTTGAGGACTTGAGGTGCAAAACTTTTTAATGCAAAGGAGCTGGCTACATCTCTAGCTGCTTTTCATTTTTTGGTAGGTATATGCCGATTCATCATCTTTCAACAACTTCCTTAGTTTCAGGCTTCGTACATACTCCAGACTTTATCTCCCAACAACTTTCTATCTTAGTTTGAGGCTTCTTACAGAAGCATGTTTTCTGTAACCATTTCTCCGCATCTGATACTCTGATATGCTACAGATTTGCCCTTTCATTCACGTTATTCCAATTCTTGCCATTAGCTTGCTTCAGCCACTATTCCTCGAAACTACAGTTCTAGATGGCAGATTCTAATGAAATATCAGGAAATACTGTACATGGTCATTTGGTTATTTGAAAGGGAAAATTAGCTCAGTACCATTAAAAGATCCAATCTTTAGAAAACTAACACTGAAAGATTTAACTGCAGAAAAGTACCATTGAAACATTTCTCCGTTATATCTTTTATCATCCCCGTTTACTGCACATTAGCTGAAGGGAAAAATAAAAAAAGAACGGAGCCAACAGCAGAAACGCACGTAGCCTGAGAAGGTCTCGGACCTGAGCGCGACCTCGAGCGGCGCTCTTTCTCTCGCAGGGGCGGTCTTCCCCTCGGCGACAGCGCTCCTCCCCTCGGCGACGACAGCAGTGGTAGTGACTTCACAGGCCTATCCTCCATGGTGAGCCCCTCTTCTTCCCTACTTTTCTTGTTCTCCATTCTTTTTGTCCTCTTCTCATGGTCGAAACCCTAGGTATTGGGGATTTTGTAGTGCTGTGATAAGGGATTAGGGATTTGATTGAAGATGGATGCTACTGAAATTCTAGAAGGGTAATCTCCTTGGACACATTCTACATTCTTTCAATTTGTATCTATTTTGCTGGTTTTTTTGGGGTGGACATAGCTACTGAATGAGGACCTGATTTATTTTTGTGAAATTGGGCCTTACTGTTTTCCCTCTGTTCCATGTGTTTCGGGCTGCATATCACAGGATTGATCCAAAGAATGCTTGTAGAGTAGATGTCACAGTGAACTCATACTTTAGTATTGTACATGGTAAAAAGGTCTACAATAGGGGCATAGATGTAATCTAGAGAAGGATATTGCTTCGCACTTTACATGGGACAGCAACCAGCAGGCAAATTTCTGGGTTGTAAAAGGGATGTATTGGACAGACAAATTAATTTCAGATGGTCAGCTTCACAGCTTGCTAAGGGCATCTCAATTGGTGAAATTTATGATGATAGTGGGCAATCGTGTGGAGGGGGATGAGATGCCTCCTGCAGTGAACATGGATTGTGAGGGCATGTCTAATGAAGTGCCAGTTGTTGAGAAGAAGATGGAATTTGAGGGATTTGAATGGTCAGAAATACCACAATATGGAGAAACCATAGCAGGGCCACCAATGCCTGAAGAGGAGGAGAAGGAGCACTTCATGACTATTGGGTGTGACCCTGATGGGGATGAGCCAACCGGAGTAGATGAAGAGTGGAGATACTTAAAACCAGTTGATGCTACAGTTAATGATGCACAACCAACAGAAAATATTGAAGTAGAGGTGCAGAAAAGAAAGAGGGCAAGGCCTGTTCTGGACTTTGATTCTGAATGTGTTCATGATGATGAGGCTACTATGCTAGATGATTATGCTGCACCTTTCACAACATATGACAAAGAGAATCGGATCATTAATGAAGGAGATACATTTGGAGACAAGGACGAGTTCATCATGACCTTGAGGACATATGCCATAAAAAATGAGTTTGGTACTAGGGTTGAACATAGTGACAAAGAGAGGTACAGGGCAAGGTGTGCTGATGCAAACTGCGATTGGAGAATTTTTGCAAAGAGACTTCATGGTGGTGACACATTCATGGTTATTATTCTTTCTTTATAGCTTATAATCAAATATTCGTTGTACAATGATACATTTTTTGCAAGCTGTAGCTTATAATCAAATATTCATTGTACAATGATACTTTTTTTTGCAAGCTGTAGCTTATAATCAAATTTATTTGCAGGTGGTCAAACTCTCAAAATTGTATGATCACACTTGTCCTAGTTCAGAAACGGTGAAAGGCCATCAAGCTTCTACAGCCTTGATATCTCAAAGAGCAAAACAAATTATTCAAGAAGATCCCACTCTTAGCACAAAGAAGTTACAGAGAAGATTGGAAAAGCATTACAATATTGAGTTGTCATATTTTAAAGTGTGGTCTGGGAAAAAATCAGCAATGGATGATATTCATGGCACTTGGGAGGAGAGTTTCATAATGTTATGGAGATTCAAAGCAGCTCTAGAAGAAACATGCCCGGGTAGCATTGTTGAGATTGATTGCAAGAAGATCAAAGGCAAAATACATTTCTCAAGGATGTTTGTGTGCATTAGAGCATGTGTTGATGGTTTTTTGTCAGGGTGTCGGCCATATCTTGGTGTCGATTCTACTCACTTGATTGGAAAATATAATGGACAATTGGCTGCAGCAACTGCAATTGATGGACACAACTGGATGTATCCAGTTGCGTATGGGATTTTTGATAAGGAAACAAATGCCAACTGGGCATGGGTCATGGCAAACCTGAAGAAAGCAATTGGTACTCCATCTGGGTTGACAATCCATACTGATGCGTGCAAAGGATTAGCATATGGTGTCAACAAAGTCTTCAAAGGTGATGCAGAGCACCGTGAGTGCTTTAGGCACCTAATGGCTGATTTTAGGAAGAAATTTAGAGGTGAGGTGTTGAAATACATGTGGCCTCTTGCATGGGCATGTACAGCTCGAAGGCATGATGCATTGTTGGAGAAAATTGGAACTGAATGTCCTAAAGCAATTACCTTTTTAGACAACCATCACAAGCTGATATGGAGTAGATCTAAATTCTCTAAAGAATGCAAAGTTGATTATGTTAACAATAACATATCTGAATGTTTCAATAATTGGATTAAGGATTATAAAGACCTTCCAGTTGTTGATCTGATGGATAAGATCAGAGAGAAGATTATGGAGAAAATCTACACAAGGCAAGAGATAGCCGGTAGACTTCAAGAGCACATCCTCCCTAGTGTGATACATGAGCTGAACATGAAGAGTCGAGGGCTATAATATGATATCAACAAAAGTGGTCCAATGTCAGTTGAAATTTTAGGAACAACGAAGGAAGGAAAAACTTGGCTGATATGCAGTTGACCTTTCGAAAAGAGAATGTGGCTGTGGGCAATGGGAGGTGTCTGGAAAACCATGCACTCATGCTACTTATTTGGGAAAGTGAGGCAACTAAACATTGAGGACTTTGTACATGATTACTATTCTGTGGAGAGATTCAAGATGGCTTACCAATTTCAAATCGCTCCTATGAATGACAAGTCTCAATGGCCAAAGGTTAATCTTGGTTTTGAAATGATTCCTCCACCACTACAAAGGGCTGCTAGTAGACCAAGGAAACAAAGAGTAAAGACTAGAGGAGAGCCAGGAAAAAGAGGACCATACCAATGCAAAAGGTGTTTTCAATTTGGACATATAGAGAAGGGTTGTAATGCTACTCAAGCTGAATTAGAACAAGAACTTCCACCACCTCGTCCAAAAAAAGGGAAAAAACAAAGGTAATATAATATTTTGTTTCTTTTACGTGCTCAAAAAGTAGTTTTACCGATCCAAATTTCAAATGTAGGATAAACAACTCTAAATCTGTTGGAGCCTCCACAACTGATGCTAGGACATCTAAAGCAGCTGCTGAACCCTCTCCAATGCCTCATTCAAGTCCGGGTGTAACAACTAGAAGGATGTCATCCATTTCTCCGACTAGCCCAGGTGTAACAACTAGAAGGATGGTTGCAATCTCATCTGGTGGAATTAATCGGAGGCTCATCATTGAGTAGATGAATTAGCTATATTAGTATTGTAGTGTATGAACTGTGGTCTTATATATATGTGTGTAATTTCTGGACAAACCTTGCTGAAACTTTTAGAGAAACCATGCTGTAGTGTGTGAATTGTGGTCTTATATGTGTGTGTAATTTCTGAACAAACCTTGCTAGAACTTCTAAAGAAATCATGCTGAAATTTCTACCTTGATGAGTGTTATATCCTGTGGGTTTAGGCGAGGCAACAACATATATGCTGCAGTCAGGTCTGGAGGGCTACTCAGTGTTTGCTTTTTTTTACATGTTTGCTAAAATGAATTAGGTGTGAAAGGCTGCTCAAATGAATCTTTAACGTTGAGTTAACAGATATGCTAGAAGCCTATGATGGGGAAAACTTTCAATGGTATTTTTCTATGGTCGAATCTTTTAATGGTATGTTTTCTAAAGATCCGATCTTTTAACGGTACTGAGCCAATTTCCCTATTTGAAAACTCAGTCTGAAAATAGTTTTAAGCGCCGAGCTTTTGTTCTACTACTAACGGCTTGTAGGCGGGTTTTATCTGAATAGGACATAAAGCTGCAATGGCAGATGCGGACCAGCTGCAACATTTTCGCGGCATGATGTGTGCTGTTCATGAAGCCCATTGGACAAGAGGGCAAGCCATAGCGTGCGCGAGAACCCATAGCGATGGTTGTGTCTCTGCCTCTGTCGAATATCCAGTATCCGGCGTGACAACCGCTCCTTGATCTCGTTTCGAGTTGGCCCGTCGTCAGAGCGATATCTTTGGTGGTCCCATCGGCTGGGAGCTTGGGGTGGTGGGCACGGAGGAGGACGAGGAGTTCATCTTCTCCGGTGGCGACTCAGCAGAGTCTTTGGGTACTGCGGGGCCCCGGGTGCCACGTCCGACCTCGCCGCCCACGCATGGCGGCGGCGGCGTCCACGAGCACTGGCTGCAGGGCGGACCACCGCTGAGGTCTTCTGTCCAGCGATAGCAATTAGCAATAGCAACTACTAGATCGGAGGATCCGAGCTCCCAAAGCGGAGAGTGTGCATTGCCGGCGAGTTAGTTAGCTCCTTCGCTGCCATGTCCGTGCGAGTCCTTACGATGCTGCATATGAGCTCGTAGCAGCAACAAATCTTGCTAGTGTGCTTTGTGGGCCTTGTGGGTTTATTGTATTAGCCACAGAGTCCAGTGGACCACGACGGAGGGTCACAGTTGCGCTCGTGGGCAGCCACAAACCCGCTTAATTAGTTTGCGGCAAGCTTAGTGGGTAAGTGGTCGTCCACAACCCGCCCCGCATGCAATCCGAACTACTACCCATTCCACATTTCCACGTGTCTATTTTTATTACTTCGTGCTCTTTTTCTTAGCGCTCGGTTCTTGTGGGGGTATGCCCCCCGGTATCCACAAGACAAGACATGGGCCGCACCGTCAGAGGTGGCCCAACCCACAAGATCAAGGCGTGCACGGTGCTACTCGGTGTGCACCGCAAGATATTGTATAGTACCAAATAGGATACTTTCTTTGTAACCCTACCCCTCCAGAGTATATAAGGAGAGGCAGGGGTCCCCTAATCGACATCTTCATAGATCTCAATGTAATACATCAGAACACAGGATGTAGGTATTACATCATACTGACGGCCGAACCTGTCTAAATCTTGTGTCTTGGTGCTTGTATTACCATCTCGCTCACCCCCACCGACAAATCTACCATCACAGGATACCCCTCGGTGGACTATCGAGCATCTTCTGTCGATAGTTGGCGCGCCAGGTAGGGGTGTGTGCTTGATCCCATGGCGAGCCAGATGGACCTCAAATCAACAGCGCGTTCTCGTCATCAATCTCGTGGAGATCCATGTCGGTCCACGACGACGATTCATCGCTGGCTACAACAGCCCCCGCGACAGCAGATCCGATCTCGGAACCACCTCCGAGGTCGTCTTCACCAACAACTCACCGCCCGCCAGGTGCTGACCGTCAACGCCTACCAGATAACGCCATACGTCGCCGACCAGACTTTCTGTCTAAAGCTAAGTCATGTTTTAATATTCTTCTAAATTTTCTTCAATCTCTGTATATCGCCATAATGTTTCTCTGAGCTGTCATGTTTGCTCTCTAAACAATTTTTTGAACCCCCGAACAGTCATGTTGACGCTCGGACGCCTCTAGAGACAGCCCTGTCTCCGGCTCCTCCCTACACGTGCTACGGGCTCCGCGCTCTGCGTTATGGGTGGTCGGCAGCGGTTCCTTGGTTACGCCTGTTCCTCCTACACGTGCATGGGCTCCGCGCTCGACGTTATGGTAAACATGCTAGCTAGGGTTGGAGGCTCAGCTACACACTAACTGGTCGGGCGGTTTATATTAAATATAATTACATCTTCACACCAACTAATCGCCGAGCTACATATGCTATTTCATCGCCATTGCTGATTTTTATCCGGAGTTTATATATTTTTACATCATGTACTACCCGTTCTACATATTTGTATTGCAGGATCATCGTCCAGGTCATCGGATCACCTGGTGCTCGGACTTCTCCACCGATCAACTGGTCAGACCGCTAGGTTCATCGACTTCGTCGCCGACCAGTTGATCAGACTGTTCGCCTATCATTTTTACTCAATGCTCACTTCGCCGCCGACCAGTTGACTGGATTGTTCGTCGCTCGTGCTTCGTCATTAGCTATGTCGGGTACTCCTCGGCGCTCGGATTCTTCGTGCTCGAAGACTAAGTGGGCACACTTCACCTTGCGGACATCGCTAGCGATGCTGGGGACTCCTCATTCCTCGGTGCTCGGACATCGCCACCGACGCCGGGGACTCCTCGCTCCTCGGTGCTCGGATATCGCCAGCGACGCCGGGGACTCCTCGGTACTTGGACATCGCCAGCGACACCAGGGACTCCTCACTCTTCGGTGCTCGGACATCGCCAGCGACGCCGGGGACTCCTCGTTCCTCGGTGCTCGGACATCGCCAGCGACGCCGAAACTCCTCGCTCTTCGGTGCTCGGACATCGTCAGCGACGCCGAGGACTCCTCGCTCTTCGGTGCTCGGACATCGCCATCTACGCCGGGGACTCCCTTGCTGCTCGGGATCTTGCTACGTCTCATCGGTGTGCTATCAAGCTACTCCATGCTGTTCAGATCAGGGTGCTGATCTTGGGCAGCACGTCTGGGGTCTTGATACGTGCATGTCTGACGATGTCGGCAAGCTTTTAGACTTCTTTTTCTTTGACCCTGCTACAAGATTCATTCTTCATCTTCCAGCAGGCTCGGTGACTAAGTGGGCACACTTCACCTTGCGGTGAATGTGCGCGTTTCTCATCTCGAGGCTACGCCCGGGGACTGGCTGCCTGCTCGGCTGGTCTTCTACTTTCTGACCCTGGCACCACGTGACTACGTCACCTACTGTCAGGCTTGGGGACTAGCTGTGGGGGTATGCCCCCCGGTATCCACAAGACAAGACATGGGCCATACAGTCAGAGGTGGCCCAACCCACAAAATCAAGGCGTGCACGGTGCTGCTCGGCGTGCACCACAAGATATTGTATAGTACCAAATAGGATACTTTCTTTGTAACCCTATCCCTCCAGAGTATATAAGGAGAGGCAGGGGTCCCCTAATCGACATCTTCATAGATCTCAATGCAATACATCAGAACACAGGATGTAGGTATTACGTCATACTGACGGCCGAACCTGTCTAAATCTTGTGTCTTGGTGCTTGTATTACCATCTCGCTCCTGATCTCGCTCACCCCCACCGACAAATCTACCATCGCGGGATACCCCTCAGTGGACTACCGAGCATCTTCTGTCGACAGTTCTTCTATGACCTCCAGAGGCTTGGCACTTCATACCTCTGTGTCTGTGGTTTTTCATCGTCACCACGGGAATCCAATGATCTCCGCATCATCTCATCACCAACGAAGCCTTACTGGCTTAACGATGAATTCTTTAGGCATGAACAATGCCTTCCCTATCAAAGGAGCTACACGGTAAATTCATCTCTTTCTTACTCCTCATAGATCCTTGGATTCACTATGTAGCATGTCTTCTCCAAACTTCACCTTTTTGTAGTGCTAGCTTGTATCTTGGCATACACAGTAGGTTTCATGCACACTACTACAGAAATGTTTTTTAGGGGCGGCTCGTAACCTTTTGTAGGGGCAGTTTGGCCAGCCGCCTCTATCAAACCGTCTCTACAAATCATGCATTTGTAGGGGCGGTTCTCAGGCCGCCCCTACAAATCGATTTGTAGGGGCGGCTGTAGTACCAGCCGCCCCTATAATACGTGTTTGTAGGGGTGGTTCAATTTAGAACCGCCCCTACAGTACGTTTTCCCTAAAAAAATCAAATTTACAATTCAAATTCGACCAGAACACTGCTTGTTTCCGCATATTCCATCCAGCGTTCGCGTTGCCGAACGCCCCGTGACCAACGTTACGAACCGCGTTCGCGTTGCCGAACGCCACGCGACCAACGTTCCAAACCACATTTGCGTTGCCGAACGCCCCGCGACCAGCGTTCCGAACCCCTTAGACTACAAGCACAAGAGTATTATATAAACTACAATTACAAGAATATATACAATCCATCATTAAATAGACATAATTCACAAGGTAAAACCAATGTCAAATTCCATACACATTGTTATCAACGTCCTAGAGCTAGCCTTTCAGTCTCACGAAGATAGTGGTACTGAGGATTTCTACCTAAGTCAGACTCTCGGTCATGGTAGGCGTCTTTGACGTGTACAATCTGGTCCAATACCAAGTTGCAAAGGTCGTCGATGAGCTCTAAGAGTTGGTCATCCTTGTATGGGTCTCTTTTCAGTTCTTTCTCTTCTTTCCACTACAAGAGAACAAGTTTTGGTTTAGTATTTCATATTGTCGGTGTTTCGAACAAGCACCGGCTAGTAAATTTATAATTATACGTGTTAGGCCCGAATGGTGCGCTAAAGGACACAAGGTTTATACTGGTTCGGGCTGAATGTCCCTACGTCTTGTCTGTTGC